CCCCCCGTCCCCCCGTCCCCCCCACGGTCCGCCTCTTGCTCCCACTCCCCATCCACCGTCCGCCGTCGCCCGGGCACAGCGCGCTGGAGGGAGGGCCCGGGGGGCGGCGCGGAGCCCCTGCGCGCGGGATGGAGCCCGCCGCAGGCCGGGGAGGCAGAGGCCCCTGCAGCTGCTGTCCTGGGAGGGGAGGCAGAACCACTTGTGCTGACGGAAGTCGCTGCCTCTCACCCCCGGCCCGCCCTCTGTCCCCTGCTCCATTGACTCCCAGTTACCAAGACTGCCCTTCTCTTTATGATTCCTGTGGAATAGAAAAGGTAATTAGAAGTCGCACCACCAGCACCACCACCCCTCCCTCCGCTCCCCCCGAAAAAACCTCCTAGTGGTTGTTTTTGTTCCTTAGCCCAGGTTAGGCTAAATACATTCCCGGGAAGCCATCTGGTCTCATTCCCGGATCCCTTCGTATGGTTTCCATTAGGCTCGCCAAACCGTGCATTGAAAACGTGGCCTTGGAGCTACTCAGGAACCTCCAGGATTTTCGCCCTGGCCAGCCTGCTTTAGAGAGCCTCAGGCAGAGGCAGGTAACGGCCTCTGCTTAAGTTCTGAGTCCAATGCCTAATGGTCCCGGTCTTGTGCTGTAATTCATATGCTTTACTACTCCAAGAAAATACAGTTCTCCAGGTTAATGGGTTTTATTCATTCAGTGTTTGTTTACTGTATGCAAGACATAGCTTATTATGTTTTAATTCTAAAACTCTGTGTTAGCAGCTTTACAAATAATTTTACAAAATAACCTGGCCAGAGAAATTCGGTTTGACCAGCAACATTTGTATGGTTGGGTCTACCCTTTCCCCGCTTCCATCCCCCAATCCTCTACCCTCTAAAGACAAAAAGCAAATGCTAGCTTGTGGAAAAGTATTCCCTTACACATGCGTTGGGGTTTGTGGTCCAAAAAAAAGGGAACAGGCAGGTTCATAGAATCATAGAGTGTTATAGCTGGAAAGTTCGTTAGAATTCATCCAAAATAAGTCTGTCATTTTACTGAGAAGACTCAGAAAGGGGAGTGGCTCAGGGAAGGTCCTTGGCTGATGAGTAAAGTACTAACTCTTTCAGTACTTGGACCTAATTTGAGGAAGAGACCTAAACATCCACTGCTTTATTATCCACAGCCAAAGGGACTTAGATCACATTCAATGAAATCCTAGCCCATCCTCTCTCTCTCCTGCCCTTTCCTCCCCAGTTCTCTCTCTGTCCTGCTCTGGGTCTTGCCTATTTGGGGACTTAGAGCTATTTCTTCCTTCCTCTAACCCTGTCTGCACTCCTCCTTTCTCTTTTTCTTTCCTTCCTGTACCCCCACTCCACCCAACCCGATCATGAGATTTTATTTGGGTTTTTAAAATGAAACCAGGTGCTGCATAAAACAAAAGCAATGTAATAACAAGGAAAGACTATTCAACGCCTGAGGAATGTGCTGAGTTTTATGACTCAGGCTGTCCTGGCAAAGAACTCCGACTTACATGGAGAGGTGGGTGGCACAGCGCACGGACCATACATGGCAGCCCCGGCCTCCCCAGATAGGCACGGTCAAGACAGCCGGTGACTCATTTCACAAAACCAGAGACTCTTGTTCCTTATGGAACAAGACTTCCCGGAGGCTATAGCCAAAGGATCTTCAACTTTTCCTGATGGAGTCAGTTCATTTTGGCAGAGCAAGGGCCACCCTGAGGTTAGGAGGGGAAGGGAGCCTGGGTAGAAGGCCATCCCTGGGAAAGAAACAGGCTTGATGGACTTGGGCAAGGGTTTGAGTGTGTTGCAGAGATGAGTAACACGTAAGCTGCAAAGTGACACAAAAATTAGCGTGTATTGTTTTGGAGACAATGGCCTGGGAGCTCCAGGTGGCGGGATTGCCACAGTGCCTTGGAGCAAGGGAGAGTGGCCAGGCCACTAGGAGTCCAATGGGTATTTCTTTGCAGTAGTGCGTGGTGAAGAGTGGAGAAAAGCTGGTAAGATTCTGGCAGGGTTCTGAGGTGCCATTGCTTATGCAATAAGGAGGAGTAATTAAGAGCAGGAGAGGTGGACTTTACATAAACACCCAGAGAGACACCCAGGCACACATCCTCACATTCTGAGAATTCTTTTCAAATGAGCGTAGTGACGGGGCAAGGTGTACATTTTTTCTGTTACTAAGAGACAGGCTGGGAGCACTAAGGAGAATGTCTCTCTTGCAGAGGTGATGGAAGGGGTCTGAACTTGGGTGACAAGGATCTGTTTGTGTTCCCTTCATTACCCAGGCCTGGGTTGAACGGGCCTGCTCGTGCTTCTGGTTTCCGCCACCCCAGAGAAGGCTGTCACTTTTTGAATGAGAATGAACCTTGACTGGCATAAATGAGATCTCCGTACAGCAGCCTCATGGAACGGGGTCTTATTTTTCCTTTTCTTCTTTCTTGTTTTCTTTTCCTTTCCATGCAATACCCACTGAAAAGCTACAGCGACTATTCCATAATTGCAGGAAAAGCCCTGCTTAACTTTTTTATTAAAGTCTACTTACCTGGAAAAATAAAGTCTTTTAAGGACCATGACTTCATAAATATTTATAGTGTGAACAGGCGTCACTCTGGTTCTGCAGGAGAATGGGCTCATTCAGTTTTATTTAGGATGTGACACTCGGGTGAGTGACATCCGTCATCTGGGTCAGCCCTACACTCTGTTCCACTGAAGCATGTTTATGGAGTGATTATGCCTGCAAATATTTGCTATATTTAGTCCTTCTCCTCCCCTAACTCCCTCTCAGCCCTTTTAACTCCCCAAACCAGCAAAAAGCCAAGCTTATGGTCTAGGGAAGATTTGAACCCTAATGACAAGCACGGGGGCTTGAACAAGTGCTGTGGAAACTCCTGGCGGGTTGGGAGGCAATTAGAATGGGAGCAATGACTGGCATGGTAGCATTCACACACTAAGGTGGTTTGGTTAGGCCTGTGGCTAGCAGGTGAGGGCTCTCGGCCGGGCATGAGGGTTTTGACAGGTGATCGCACAGCCCTGACTGACGAATGCAGAGGGACACTTATGAAACTTTCCTTCCCAGGGAGCTATCTCTGGACAGGATCTCAGATCTGTCACCACACACCCTGGGGCTCTGGGGGCAGGGGCTCGTGGGAGCTCTGTGACCTCAGCTGGGTCAAGGTTTCTGGTGTAACCTGAGGCTGTCGCTTCTCAGCCACACCTGGCCTCTGGTGGGGGTGGCCAACAGCTGCCCTCCATCAGCTGTGGAGGAGAGAGGGCCACCTCTAGCTTTACAGCTGCACATGCCCTGACCTTGGCATTCCGGGCTGAACCTAGGCCTACTTCAGGGCTCAGTGCTCGCCTCTGATCAGCTTGGCCACCTATTGTTTATCCTGGGAAGGGCCAGGTCTTGGCACAGGGGCCTAAAGTGTTGCCAGCATTTTATTTTTAGAGACAGGAAAATGTTTGCTTTTTGGCAGCTGCTCTTTTTTTGGCACACACCGGGATGGCGTAAAAAAGTTCAAGTGAGAGATTCCAAACCCTAAATTCATGGCGTCTGACATAGGCAGTAGTACCATGAGCCTCTCCACAGAAGCCTTTGTGGAGCCTAAGATCTTTCATTAGCTGGCCTCTTGCGCACAGCGGCTCCCTCCTGCTGTGTGCTGGCAGCCACAGGCCTCTAGTTTGCAGACCTCATAGCCTGGACAGCTAATGAGTCCCTTTTCAGTGCGTCAGCTGGTCTGAAATTTTATAGTTCTTACTCCCTTCATCTCCTTCTCTACTAATTCATAACCTAGTCCAACTTGGTAGGCAGAGTGAGAAAAGCAATCAGTCTGCTAAATCTGATGTTCCTCACCTCTCCTCACGTCCGCTGTCACTGTCAGCACGACCACTGGGGTAAGGCCGTCAGCTTCCATGGCAAGAAGGGCCTTACTACACCCAGGGAGTACATTTCCCAGTTTTCTTGGACTTACTGTCTGTCCCAACATGGTTCTTCTTAAAATATAATTTGTGTGGGTCGTGTGAGTCTGGCTATTGGCAATTTATCTGAAAGCAATTCATAGACTGTAATGACATATTATGCAAAGGTAAAATGGAATGGAAAGAAAAGTCAAGAATTAAGTTGTGTTTCCTACCTTCCTTTCTCCCCAACCTTTTCAAAAATTACTTTTTAATTACAAAAATAAAACATGAATACAATCTCCTTTGCTACTCGATTACCTTTTGGATTCATTTTTCCTCTTGCTGGAGTATATCCTCTGGTAGGTTTTCTTTTGTTCTCCCTCCTTTCTCCGCCAGAGAGTGTCTGTGGATAATAAATTTTTCTGAGAGCTTGTGTG